GGCCTCTCAGGTAAATGGAGAAGAACTATAAATTATGTTAAGAGTCATGCAATTATATTTAAGGTAGAGAGTAAATTTGTGTATACACATGCCCCTGTCAATAGACCTTTAGTAGCAATAGAACAGCACACCGCTTTATCAAAACACTGATATAGTTACTGTCTATGAATGGGACACAGAAAATCAGTTTATTTTCTTCTGGAAGGTAATTATCTGTGTAGTTAATATTCATAACTGTATAGAAGAGAGTAGATGGCTACTGTCTGGGGCTTCCCAAACATATCAGTATGTATAATAGCATAATGATACTATCTCTTCTGTTCCTTGTCAGTCAAATCAGGACAGGGCAGGGTCTACATAGAAATCACATGTTATTTGGTTTCTTCCATAATTATATTTTTTTCTCGTCTGTTTGCATGCAGTTTGTTTTGCTTGCTAGCATAGATAGATTTCCACTTCATTAATTTTTTTGCCTTGTTGTAATTCATTCTGTTGATGGAGTATGTGGGTTTCTTGTGTATCAGTACACATTCTTTTTTTTCGTTTGTGTATGTATATTTCTTTTTCTTGTATCTACAAGTAAATTGTCTCTGTTCTTTCTTGTGTTACATTTTCACTGACCCCAAAAGCAGGGTCCAAGGTTAGCTGTACTGCTGGACATACTGCTGGTGAGACATTATCAATAGTCACAGTGTGGACTCTTCACTGCTTGTTCAACTTCCCAGACTCACTGTGTCGATCTTCCTTACAAGTCCAAATAATCCAGCATGGCTATATGGCAACTCACAACTGTTTTATTTTTCATGTATTTTCCAGGAAATGAAGACTACACAAGAAGTCCAGGTCGGGATGGGTGAAAAGGAAGTTCAGTCCGACACCATTGAGTTACACATGACAGCAGTAATCACTGGGAGGCTTCCTGGATCCTGCTCTAGTCCATATACAGTGGAGGGATTTACCTGGGTAGGATTTAGAATGTTATCCCTGAATCCTGCTCTAGTCCATATACAGTGGAGGGATTTACCTGGGTAGGATTTAGAATGTTATCCCTGAATCCTGCTCTAGTTCAGGTACAGTGGAGGGATTTACCTGGGTAGGATTTAGAATGTTACCCCCAAATTCTGCTCTAGCTCAGATTCAGTGGAGGGATTTACCTGGCTAGGATTTGGTATGCTGTCCTGTATCTTGCTTTAATCCAGATACAGTGGAGAGATTGGCCTGGCTTGGATTTAGTACATTCTCCTCATTTTGCTAAGAAGATATGGCAGAGGGATTCACCTGGCTATTAGTAAACATGCCTGCCTATCTGTTGGATTATATCATGTGTTTACAAAAGGATGGATAACTTGATAATTATATTACCTGTGTCAGGTGCAAAACCTGTAGGAACATCTATCTGTAATGATACACAGGTAATAGGTGCAATACAACTAGAAATACACTACTTAAAGCACACCTATGTTGAAGGGGGATTTAACGATTAAAATTGCAGCTGGAAATACAACTGGGAGTGGATACATGTGCAAAAGGTACATTGTGAAGACCATGCCTAATGAAAGGATAAATTCTGACAGGTGTAATATCGCTTGATGAGCTAATGATGGATACATTAGAATCTGTGTCTGAGGAATGTGTTAATTATTCTCCTGTACATCCAATTCATACAACTAGATGTGATTAGTTGTGTTGTGTATTGAATATGTATAGTTCTGTATTCCAACAAGAGATATTTGGGATTTACAGCTCTCAGAATTAACAGGGGCAGCTTACACCAAGAGCCCCTCACACTGCAAGCCTCAAAATACACCAGGTCAAATAAGGTAAGCATTTATTTCTTACTCTCGAAAAATTATTTTTCCAATTCCAAAATTTGTTTCCTTCTATTTTCTAATAAAATAATTTATATTCTAGACGGTCTTGTTGAAAGCATTCTTCTCCCAAAGTCTCAATCTTCTCCACATCTCCCTTAGAGGTTGTCAAGTAACTGAAATGATCACACATGCGATGTCTTGGACAAAACAAACTTGACACAGAAAGTCCATAAGACTTGTCCTAAACAGCATTAGCACTACAAGAGGTTAACTTGCCAGTTTCTGTGACTAAAAGGCATGATCCTTTGGTTATAGCTGCCATATCATTTCATTGAACACACCATCAAAGCACTTCCACTACATTAATCAAACCCTTACTAACAACCTAGTTCAATACACTGGAATCCGTATCAAAGGAAGTTTTTACAAAGAGCTATAGGACTCTTGTGTGGCTACAGATAGAGTCTACCATCTCCGTTGATCAAACAGAATTGTAGATACGGAGATTGCATACATGGTGCCTCAGAAACAATATACTGCTACAACATGGCATAATTTTCAACTAGGCATTTTATTGTCTTCCATATGAACTTGGCTCACGTTCCATACCAACGATAAAATTCAATAATGATCATTTTAATATGAAGTTGTTAAGATTTATTCCATAATAATTGCCTTGCTCCTGATGAGCGTGACCTGACTACCGCATTGTTACCCTAGTCATCATATAGGTACGACAATGGATTACATTCTCGTCTTCATTAGCGTGCGTCAGCTGATCATGCTAATATCACTGACTTTACACAAGATACATATGAGCTGGGGCTTTTACCTTTTTATCCTATCTCCTCTTGTTTGCTTCTGCAAATTGGACAAGATTTTATCTGCACGAGTAATTAGTAAAAGCCTGTGTGTTCAACGTACAGGCATTTGTATCAAATACAGTGCCATTACCAATATAACATACACTCTTCTTCAGGTAGAGATCAGTGCAACCATGTCTTCTAATGAAACAAATAAACCTAAAATGCAAAATATATCTGTTCTATGTCACTTCTCATCGTGAAATAATATTGAAAATCTGTCATTTCTCCTGATAACCATATATCTGTATACTTTCAGCCTTTCATTTCTGTTCTCTTTTCCTCTCTTCATCTGCTTTTGTGGGAAAGTACTATTGATTTTGTTGTGACTTCTATTACTCCTGGGGTACACTCAGTGTATTCTGGTCCCGTATTACACTATATATATTATTTCTATTACTCCTGGGGTACACTCAGTGTATTCTGGTCCCGTATTACACTATATATATTATTTCTATTACTCCTGGGGTACACTCAGTGTATTCTGGTCCCGTATTACACTATATATATTATTTCTATTACTCCTGGGGTATTACACTGGATATTAATTTCATTCCCGATTCACAAAGTTTTATCAGTGTCTCTTACACTACATCTGAAATCACAAATACACCATTTCCCCCCTACAATTCATCAAATTCAGAAATGATGTATAATGAAAACGACTGTCTTTGAAAACCTAATCAATACACAAGGACAAGGGAACATAGCATCAAAGCCTCACAACCTTTCAAGCATGGTGATCAATTCCTTTTTCTACTCAGAATTCTAGACAGTTTGTAGTACACTTCAGCCTGTCATTTTTAAATTATCAATTGCTTTTACAATTGCTGGACAAGCCAGAAGGCAAGAATTGAACCTGATTACCGGATACAGACATGGTCTTGTAACTGGAGGCTGTCACCAGCTCGGCCCCTCTGCATTCAACAGACCAATTCCTCTCCCATGGAAAAATCTATTGGGTTTCCACACAGGGCAGTATGTACAGGGAACCAGCAATCGTTTTGATTAATGAACGCTCTATTTTCCTCCTGACAGCCCTATTTCAAGCCTGATCGGCAATAAATGCTTTCAATAATGGCTGCTCCAAAGAATCAACAGTAGATATGTAAAAATAATGGGGGATTTGCCGTGCTATCTATACACTTGTGATGGCTGTGGCTTCAGGCGGGGAGATACTGCCAGACCTACTGGGAAGGAGGATGCAAGATTGCCATAACCTTCGGTAAGGAGGTTGGAGCCTGGCACAGCTGCTGATGAGGTTATACAAAACATTTTGTGATAGTCAGATGCTGTGGAGAATGTCATTTTCTGTTGAGTGTGTTGTACTTCAATCTCTGTGGCAACCTGCCTTCTGTATAACAGGCTAAACCATTGTCAGTCAAAATGGTTTTCTGCCAGATTGCTGTAAGGTTTGGGAGGAAGTAATCACCTTAAAGTAAACAAACAGCTCAAAAGGTAGGAACTGGTTTGTTTTCAGTGGACAAATTTTGTCCAAATCATGTTTTTGTATAAAAATCATATCACCAAATCACTTCATTTGTAGAATATCTTGTCTCCATGTCATTCCAAATATTTTACGTTAATAATTCAAATCTGTGACTTTTTAAAAATTCTATTTGCTTTATTTCGAGCTTCAGTAAATAGTTAAGTAGACATGATATGTAGACTGATTCAACAGTCATTAACTTCAGAGCTGATATAGGAGATCAGTCTCGGTCAGTTAATCTTCCTATTCATATCTACCTGGGGACACCTAGTGTGGCCCACCAATTCAGGAGAGAAACAGTGTTTGGTGAAATCCCCACTGTGCAACACACTCCATTAACATTCCTTGTACAACAACTTGAAGGCTTAAACATCCAGCAACCTCTGCCATTCAAGAACGTAACTTCGAGGCTTAGGAATGCTTCATTAGTCTTTGCAAGTGTCCCTTGAAGAAATATGTTTGAAGTTTTTCTTTTGAGACTCCATTAGCTGGTTACAAATTTCTCTCACCAATATTTACTAAGCTCCTTGTGTACAGTTAAACTTGCTGAGAAAACATACAACAACAGTCACAAAGATTGTATACAAGAGAGTTGACCTTTCCATGCTGACCTTGAGTATTCCAAAAGATCCCTACCATCAATATTGGGGCTTTGTTCTAATCCGACAGGAAGTTGTACAAGTATTGTAAAGACCCGCTCTCTGATACATCTTATATTTTTGTCATTGGCACCATTAGCAAATATTTCAGTGCTGGATGCCAGACTCAATTCTTATTGATCACAGGAATAAGGTCAACGTGGATTGACAGTAGTCAAGGGTCACTGAGGTCACTTACCTGGTCTGGGCTCCATGCTGTTTCCCATTGGCATCTGGCCTGTGCCGCTGTTCTGTAAGGTGCAAAAAAAGAAAACAGCTTTAGCCCCAGACAGGACAATATTTGGATAAAATAATGAACTCTCTCCAATATGCAGTAAATAGTGATGAAATATCAGGACATCTTTACCCCTACAACATTCTACACAGTGGAAGCTCGAATGGTAAGACATTCACTCAATATTATTGGTATAAGGTGTATTTCATTGTATCTGTGGTGTTTTGAGCTTGTCAGAGGTAAGTTAATATTTGGCAGGGTATTGTTGTAATACTTCATCTACAATCATAAATCAGCATCATTTTGCTCTAAGATATGTACCCACTGTCTATAGCGAGTGCATTTATGAAACCCTTCTGAGCTGACCAAGTCACAATGAAATCTTTTGGTCCTGCAAACCCTCAAGAAAGCATTTTGACACATTGGTAATATTTTCCCCCCTTTTCTGTTAACCTTGAGTTTATGATATTAAGCTGATGATACTTAAAACAAAATGAGTTCATATACTTCAGATCTAGGCCTATCATTATTTCTTTTTTAAGTGCATGATCAGCTTAGGTTTTCATGAGAAATTGTCTATAGAGAAATCTATTGTCATTTCTGAACCAGAAATCTAATTGACCATTAAATTTGGCATTGGATGTTTCCATTACCAGATCACCATTTAATTAATATGTATACAGGTGAATCTGACAGATGCTCATCTCAAAATACCATCAGCTGACTCAAAAGCTCACTAATAGGCTATAGCCAACACATAATCAACCTTTATTTTGTAAATAAATTGTCGACATGTCTTTTTCATAATGGTTATTTATGCTACCCTGGATAGTCTACCTATTCCAGAGAGCTTTCCCCGAATGAAAAGGCCAATCATCATATGTTTGAAGTATAATCACATGGCATCACACCAGTGTTTGATCTGGAATTGATAGCAATATTTTAGCTTTGTGTGCACCTGTTTCAAGTGTTTTCTAATCTTGCATGCAATTTTTATTGTACATTTGGGATTTGTTTTCAAGGTCAACAAATGTTGGATTCATCTCGATAATTATGACTTCTTCACCCCGTTTTAGAAGTGTTCTTTTTAATACAAACATTGTGTACATATATAGAGGGTAGACACGTGGGGAAATTGAGTACAATTAGAAAAAAAAAAAAAAAACTAATAACATACTGATGAAATTTTTTATTGAAGCAAAATTTTTCTAAGTCTTTTCTCAATTTATAAGTTTAATTCTCCCCCTATAATGTGGGTTTTTTCTTTCAAATCAACTCCTGTTGAGTGTTAATGGTTTTAATGAAGTTTAAATTTCCATGTTTATGATCGCTACTTACATTGAAGTCTACTTGATTAGGTAATCGCACCGACCCTGGACCTCTTGGACCACCTGGATATCGTGGTGACATAAACTGCTGAAAATAGAAAAATAAAGAAACATTCATACAAAATCCATCATGAAAACTTGGAAGTCTAATTCAGAAAAATTTCATAAGTATTTCACAATCTAGAAAAATTCACTTAATTATAATATGAATCATGTTAATGCAAATTCGCTGATGATGGATGGCAACATTTATCTACAATGGAGTCAAATAAAAAAGCAATAGACTGAAAAGAATTTGCACTTTTTAAGCATTAGCATATAAACATTCTTAATGAAAATTACTGACAAAAGCCACAAGTAAACAGATTAATTATGACATGCCTCACACAACATTATGACAATATTTTTTTTCACAAGTGTCAGCTTTTGGCTGTTGAAAGTATTACCAGAAACTTATCATAATGAAACATGAATAATCAATGACATAAAAAAGTTTGCAATAAATATACAAGTCATTAATCAAAATTTGCATGACAAGTATGTGAACAAACATGTATCTGATTTGACTAATTAAAGAATTTTGATGTCCACCAGATCTACTTGCATTGCTATGCATCTTACACACACATCCACATCAACCTTTAGTTGTTCTACTTTACAGCATACAGAATGTCAAAAGGGTAATTCTTTTCATGCAAAAAAATGTACATTCTTTCACGGCCTAAAATGATCAATGCATTCTAATTTTTTTCCCTCTGTAAACTTCAACCTTTGCTTCTCTATCAGGTTTGAATCAATAAACACTAAACACATTTTATTTCATGTTCTGTAATAAACTCAATTTAGATTTTAATGCCTTACAGAAACACTCTATGAATATTAAATCGCCAATGGAAGATTTCCTAACTATGTCTTTCAAGATATTGTATGGAAATATCTAACTTAGAAAATCTAATTATCAACTCTCCTTTTTCATGGGCCAACAACGATTTTTTAAAATGAATATCATGAATACTATTTCATATGATTGTAAACACATCAAATTCAGCCGAAAGGAACATCAAGTCTTCAAAATGTGGTCTGGAGAAATATAATAAAAGATGGCGTCAGCACAGTAATGGAAAATAAATACAATTATCCTGTAATTACGTCAGAACCAACTGACAGTAATTATTTAGTTCTAACTGCACATTCTATTTTTTTTTTATTTCCCAATAAGGTTTGTCACAATCAGAAGTCACCAAACATCCTTCCTTTTCACACAGTCTCTTCCAAAATGCCATTTGATCAGTCTTTGTCATGTTGACTCTTGTGAATCAATACTTTTTTTGCAATCTATGTCACAAGGACTCTTGATTCAAATGTTGAAAGATACCAGATGCAGATCAATTTTTGTCATTGAAACTGTTGAAAGACATCCACTTTCTATGAATCTTTTGTTACACTTTTTCACGCAAGCTATCAAATCTTGATCCTGGATATCAGGACCATGCTTTTACTGAAGGAACATGTTGATACCTAAATGACCACAATAACTATCCTTCTTCCTGTTAAAGGAAACAATTTACTATCAAATAATTATTCGAACTTTAGATGGGAAATATCTCATCATGGCTATATCAGAGCATTTCCTCTAATGGTAGCCAGCCATTCTCGAGGGATGAAAATGCAAAGGTAGACATTTGCTTTCATGGCAACAACATGAACTTTGACCTATTTATCTGGCCAACCACCATCCCCCTACTCCATCATTTTAATGCTCCACTTTCCAAGAGTAAAACAAAGACCATAAAGCAGTTTCAGAAAGTGCTGCCATCTCCCCGGTTTCCTGTCAGGAAGCTATTGTCGGCCTATTTGCCATGTTTCTGCTCACTTGGTCCGTCTGTATGGTGTAACCTGTGAGGTGGCCATTATCCAAAACTGTCATGACTGTTACTAGCACTTTCCTGGCTATGTAACGGCTACGTTGTGGTAGTATTTGATAAAAATCCATCCATCTATCCTCTGCAACTTTACCTTCTACCCGTTATTGTAACATAAAGTAGTCAACTCTCTTGTGGCCTACCATAGATGTCTCCAGGACTTAATTGTACTCCTAAAGGAGGAGAGTTCTTATCGTAGTCCTTTGTGCCAAGGGCAGTCAAAGTTGATCAAATCATTTCGCTATTAAGTTTCTGCTTTGTCTCCTTATACTGTAGGGCATCTTCATAGTTTGTCATTCACACAATTATAGGAGATAAATTCCTGACTTTATCTTTAAATGGACTTGATCCAGATGTTGGTCTTTTGTTCAACTTTTGTTATTGCAGTAGTTCAAGCAAATACAATCCAAAAACAAAATGTTTCAATAATTCTTTACCTTACAGACAGCCAAACTTTAATGCATCTTTAATACATATTTTTGACTCAAACATGGTGTACATGTCTGCAGTGTTCTCAACATTCATCGAAAACTTTTTCTTTGGTTCATTTCAAAGTCCTTATTCAACTGCAATTTCAACCACGAAGTTTTGAAGACCCAATTTTTTTCTCTCTCACAAAATCTGAATTTGACAGATGCTTTCAAAATATGTTGGGAAAGAAATTAAGGTCTATTGTTGGCGTCCACAGTGTCGTGATGAATACATGCTCCAATCAACAGTAATATACTACCAAACCCAATGATGTGGGATAAAATTCATCATTTCATTTATTGTGAATTTTTTCACTGAGAATTACTGCTTAAATTGTGTATACTGTATTTAGCACTGAATGTTGGGAAGCAGTAATGCTGATACATTAGCATCACTGCATGTCATATTGAAGGTCAAGTGATTTTACATGCACAGCAGACATGTCATATTTAACACACTATTTTGCAGAATGACAATTTTCAATGAGACCCCCATTTGGCAATTTCAGCTTCCGTAATTCATTAAAAGCCGAGCAGTGGAAACGAAAGAATAAAAAAAAAAAAAAAAAAAAACTGAACTTCACAGGAAATGAAGAGGGCTCTGATTAAAAGCAAGTAAAACTAGATGTTTTCTCTTGAAAATGAAGATCATTACCGTCCCGATATGTAATAGCTTTGAAAGCAGAACCAGCAACATGCCCATGTAATTATGGGCAAAACACATACTGAACACCTAACTCCCGATGGAGACTGGGAAAATTCCAAGTGCATACAACACAGGCTGGTTTGTTTGATCAAGTGTTCCCCATCAACTTCGGGTTAAATACAAGCCAAGAAACACTTTCATCCGAAAACAAACACTGCATCCTATTTAAATCAAATCTAACATTAATGTTGGAACTATTTCTTTCACTTAACTTGTCAGATGTAACATAGCTGTGGGAAGACTTTTTTTTATCTGAATGCATCTGCTATATCGCTGTAGGAAGTGCTTTTCTCCCTTGTAATTCCTCTGTTGTAACATTGATGCAGTAAGGACTATTTTTTTTCTTCCTGTTCATGAAAAACCGATAAAATTCATCTTCTGTGTGGACCACTGTAAATAAGGTTTTCCTTTTTACCTTGTAGAACTACGTTTACATCTTGTTAATTAAGACCAGTTAAAATATAGAGTGTTTAGATTATTGGTATAATTTCAGCAACAGATGGATGTAAGTTTTCTGAACTTACATGGAATGTGATTTAACAAAAAATTTCACACCGCTCATTAGGCAACAACTTATCGCCAGATTTAAATGGCAGGGTGTGAATCTAACCCGAGATATTATCATGAGTTCTGACAGACATACGCCAGAACATGAAAATCCTGTAGAGATTTCCAAGTTAGAGTCTATCAAGAACCAGTTCAGTGATTTATGTATATTATGGGCTGTTGTTTTCTTCAGATTTTGCAATCAGAAAAGCAATATCAGTCCTGTTGTTCTCCAACTCAATTAATATAACATCCACGAATATCACCATTCTGTGGGTACCAGCTAATACACTGCAGCTGCCTTTCAATTCGGAAGCCGATATTTTCTTCATTACCAATCTGCAAAACAGTGATAAATCTGAAAGCTTTCCCACATTCTTAAGAGGATTTTTGTCTCAATACCTCAATCAAAAGAGAAGAGGTATTTTCACTTACGAGAAATACGTTACTGGGCAGTGTGGATGAATTTGACATATGTAAATCTATAATGTCAGTGCGTTTGCATCATATAGGATTCTGCTTGTGTATAACAAAGAGTTGATATTCTGATGGATGGCCATCCTCTTTAGAAAATTACTGAAGCCTTCACTACTCATTCCTCCTATGCATTCCAGTCAGAATTTCTCTCAGCATTTTCTACCAATTAATAGCTTGCAGTGTGGTGGCTGTGAAACTCAGCTTGTTTTCTTTGATGGAATGAAAAGCAATTTGTAGTATTATCCTCTACATGTAATGTCGGAGATAATTGTCCCATCATTAGGCTAAATCTCCTCAAGTTCAGAGCAGGATTTGTTTGATTTTTTCAGTAAATGTTTATACAAATGTATAGTATTCCATCAATAATGGTCTTTGATATTGCAACCAATCCTACAAGTAGTGAACTAACATTCAATTCATATTAGTTACTCTCTTCAGTAATTTGAGGAGGATACTTCAGACCTAATTCTATACTGTGTATTTCTAGTACACAAACAGGTGCTGTCATTAAAAAGGTGAGATGAGTTTTGTGCATTAATGGGACGGTACAGCTTCTAACGGAGATTCAAAATCATTAAGTTCTCGTTGAGGTATAGGTCCCAGTATTAAGTATCGTGCAGTGATTGTAAACACACACACATAATGCCCAGTTGGAACGCTGATGGAATATTTCATCAAGGCTCAATACCGACATTAATCAAATCCAGTACACACAGAACTGGGGGGCAAAGCTAATCAGTCACTGCATTACTGGCAAAACGAATAAGAGTGTTAAATGATTTACGTTTCCCAATGAAAATAATTTTCAACATTCATTTCATTTATCTGTGCTCCATAACTCCATTAGCCCAAACCGATAAGTTAATTTGCCTGGAAGTAAATGACTTACAAATTTTCAATGTAAGGGAAGAGATAAAAGTAACCTGAAACATGCCTACGATTCATAGCTTTGTGAAATTGAAAAATCTGTACAACAGAATCAATTCTGTGTTATATAGGAATAGCTTCATGTTGTGTCATCTTCGCTAGGGAAAGCCCCTACAGTTGTGTTTCAAGTATCAAACTGCAGAAAAGCCCAATAAATTTACCCATTATAGGTAAAAGTTAATGCAATAATAAATTACATCATTCAGATCCATAAAACTGTGAAAGCTTGGGTCGTCCACCTAAGCTTCCGCCTACTTGACATAGCAATATCTTTCCCCAGTTAGTAAATATTCCCCTCACTATGTAATCATGGCTATCAATGATATCACTTGTTTAATATCAAAGATCTCAAACTTAACACAAAGTGGCTACTCATGATAGAAATTTAAGTGGAAGGGAGAAATAAGAGAGAGAAAATGTCTTGAAATTCAAAGCACAGTACTCCTTTATGTGATTAATGAAGCTGGTTGGTAAACTGACAACTTGAATAGGGTAATTCTTGTCTTTTTCCTATCGCTCAGGGGCACTGCTAATGGTGTGTGAAAACCATCACATACACCACTCTGATCCGAGTGCTACTACTTCTACTACTACTATCACTGCGCGACCAAGGACCAAGGTAGCCAGCTCAGAGAGCTCATGAATAAAATTCATAACCAGCATTTCAAGGAGATAGTTTAAGAAGACAGGACTAAATGGTCAATTGCATGTTTGCTGATGACCAATTATCCTGTTCCCGGTCCCTTGGGAAGGACACGACTGTTTTTGTCAGCCATAGACAATTAAGTTTTTTCTGCCAATTCAATTATGATCGAATGGAAATATACCACTCACAGAACACATTATTCAGAAAGGATTGTTCCACCAGGACGGCATGTTAGCAGATCATTTCTGGTAGAGGTAACTATCTTTCATTCTTCAACTTTAGAAAAAACAAATTCTGCAGCTAAATGTTTTTGTATACAACCAATGCTATGTACAGGAATGTAGACGTAGCTGTCTTGAGTACCAACTGTGAGGAAAAAAATGCAGAATTTATACCAACTAAAATTAACTGTAATTCCTATGTATGGTCTTGTAATTAAGAAAATTGAACAAAATTAGTATTTTTTTTTTTTTTTTTTCCGTTTTCTGAAAAGTATGGTTCTGTAATTGTTATTCTGTAGGGAGTCTTATTAGCAATCTTGTCAATTCTCCTTTGGAAAACTTGAATGGTTTTGTCATTTATAGAGAATGTTCCAGTCCCTGAAGGAGACTTAAGAGTCTCTTTTTTGCCAAAGGCAGTCTGATTTACAAGGGATCTTGTGGAATTTGATTAGAGTTCAAAGTAACACCAGTAAGGCAACGTGTCTCTTTGAAAACCCCGGTGCATAGTACATTAAACTGGTATCAGAGGCAAGCAATTGCATGTGTCCTCCTGCTATCTAGACTACAGTTTCCCCAAGCTGTGAGTAAAAGGCAACTACTCTTTTCATCTATTCAAAACTGTTTCCAAGAGGTTTATCAAGTCAATGAATCGAGGAACATCCGAGTTGATGTTGATTTTCTTTGAACATGCTAATATCCTTCATTTTAATTTCGCTTCACATGTAATGCACTCTGCCAATAAATACATTTCCCATTTCCTCTCTGTGAATAAGTTGAGCCACGCTGTAATTTGGTACATTAAGGGAAACGAAAAAATACAACAAAAGCACTGGCAATGAGGCCTCCGAACCCCTACAAGTTTTGTGAGTGCTCACGTTTTGTTTGAGCAGTTCTAATCTTCACTAACACAACATCCTGTGCATGACAAGCGAAAATTGCATGTAAAATTCTCAATTTTAAAGTGACATTAAGACCAAAGCATTTTAACTACAACCCATTTCAATTGCACATGTTATACTGATGGTTTGTGTCAGCACCTGTTCCGACTAGCCTACCTATGCCGTCATCAGACCACCAAAACGAACACTAATTATCTTTTCATTTATGCAGTCTCATCGTTTAAACATGGTTGATTACTGGTATGTAATTAAAACTGCTCAAATGTCAATGGAAAAGCAAAACCTTTACCGTAATATCACTTCAAATATAGCAAAGCTCAGTTTATCTTTACAAATCCAATACAATGGTGAGATGTATTTGTGTTTGAAAATGAGACCAGCCCTGAAGTTTTGAAGTTATGAAGGCTTAGACCATGAATTAATCATGTTCCGAAGATAACTTAAGACAGATCCCACTTTGTCTGATAAATTTCAATTACTGTGTAAAACCTCTCTATGCAACAATAGCCCTGAGAGGGTCTTAAATATCACATTCCCAAAATCATCAGTCATATTGAAAAGTAGGCTTCTCCAACACAGTGTAATAATATACATCCAAACTGTTTCCTATTAAATATGTATAAGGTGATTCCAGTTATTATGGATGTTAATTAAAATGTTCAACAAGAACCGAGCAGGTGCTGTGTGTTTGGTCATATTAAAGGTTTGAGGTGATCACAATGATAAATGGTATATTTCACATACCAGCACAAACTATGGCATGCCAGAGGGGTGTAAGGTAAGCCTGTTTCACCCGGGGAGGATAAACTATTGCATTTGTTTTACAATGGGGAGGTAAGTCAAGGCCATAAACCCAAGGGATGTGATACTACAGAAAAGAACTTTAAACCTGTTTGCTGCAAACATTAATTTTTTTCCTTTACGAAGAATGGGTTGATAATCTATTTTACAGGCTTAAATAATTGACTGTGCAGGTTTGACAGCTGTGGTAATCTGTATGAAATACCAGCATCTGAACTAATTATCTGGGAATACTTAAGTTTCATACTTCGTTGCCATATTACTGAAAGAAGTACTCCCCAGAAAATTATTGACAATCTTACTTGCACCACTACTGGAAAATTCACCAAAACATCATCATCATCGCCAAAAGAAGAAAATATTCAGAATTTTACTTCCTGAATTATGACACATACAATAGACAAATCCCATGTGGACACTAATAGAGAGGGCAGAAAACACTGGGGAATGAGAGAAAGTATAGAAGATTGGTTTTTAAGACATTGAAAACAATGTGAAATAGAAGCAAATACTATGACTTGCCATATCATCAGAGTCTGCAATCTGTGTCTAGCAGGGTTTCTTTTTACTCCTAATATGACTAAATGTTGAAAGTTCTATAAGGAATCAATACTAATTTAAGTAACTTGTCAGGACTGAACTAAAGATGGATGTCACATCCGCTCAGTGGCACTGTATACATCTTATTTAAATCTGACCTTGACATTAGCTAACTTAAATCTGACCTTGACATTAGCTATATTAAATCTGACTCTGACATAGGCTATCTTCACCTTCATGTTGAATGTTATATTGGACACTTTGTTTAACATTTACAGGGCGATTGGCCTTTCAGCCAGAAACAGTAAAGCTCCAATTTTGGTAGCATCACTTTGACTAAAATTTCGTGTAAACTTTAAAAGGTGCAAAGTAATGCAATACACTGTTGATAGATACCAAACAGTTACTTTAATGGCAACTTCCTGTGATTCGAGAGGATGGAGATTTCTTTGTGAGAGGAGAGGGGCATGATATGGGCGAGTAGAAGCCATTACGTGTACCTGTTACAACAACAATTATGCAGTTACCTGCCACAGTAATTGGAAAAATACAGGAGATTTTTACACAGGTGTAATGTTACTTCAAAACATTTATCTTGATAATGGCACTTTAATTTGACAATATTGTTATAACTTCTGATCATGTACAATCCATTTAAATTGTTAATTCTTGAGGTGTAGCTCTACCAGCATAAGCAGGCCTGATCGTCCTCACAAAAGGAATTAACAAAATATCACTCTACCAGCATAAGCAGGCCTGATGTCCTCACAACAGGAATTAACAAAATCTCAAATAACAATGATGATTGAAGACAAAAGAAATAAGGGAGGAGGGGAGAAAATTATTTCTTTTTCCTCCCTCCCCCTTTCCAAATTTACAACTGATTATGTAATGAAATCGGCACTTTGCTAGCACTGGAGGTGAAGCTTCCCGCAATCTGACATTGTTGTGTTATCAAAACATCACACACATGGTCAGAATGTAATTACATTTTCATCCAAAGATGTTGATTACAGGGTTAAGCTGCGACAGACCTTAAGCATGTCCTCATAAAATGGAAGCTCTTTTTTCTCTTGTTGCCACTAATTGTAATGTCGTCCTTTTCTATACCAGGGCCAAGTGAGATAATCAATAGTTTAAGATTAGCTCAAATACAAATAAAGCAGGTTGGGAGAAGCACTTGTGAATCTATTTTAATTTAGAAACCTTTCAGATGTCGGGCCTTCGATGAAAAACCTCCGGGAGCGAGTCTACTCTTAATATCCGGCATGTTCAAAAGACAAGCTAAGAATGTAATAGGAAATGAACATAAATATTTTACAATCTCCTGTGAGGCAGCCTGCCATTACTTTTAAGTCTAATGAAATTTGCACTCGAGTTGTACCCTTTCAACAAACACTTTCAAGGGATTGTGAAGTCCAAGCAGAGCTAGTTTGTGTTTGGTAGTGATCTAGTTTCCATACCTTATCATCTAGGTTGGGTAAAATTTGGAATTTACCTTGATATGGCAAGTGATAATTAAGGTAAGTGATATCAAATTGCATATCTCCTTCTCATTTTACATGTCAGATATGTTTTTGAAGTATAAGATTGATGGCAGTTTTTGTCAATATTGTAACACTACATCAAAAACTCTCCAAGTACCAACGAGCAGACGGTCAATATGTCAAAACTGCCTTTCATGTCAATGAATACATTGACCTCAATTGAAAAAGTGGTATTGGAACCAAAAACTAATTTTTTCCAACAGATAAATAAATAACATAATTTGAGTTTTTTTTTTTTTTTTTTATAGTTATTAAGATTCTAAAATCAATTAAACATAACCATGATTCTTTTATCTTGAATTTCCTTATTAACAACCCCCTCCCCTTTACCCTATCCTTTCTTCCTATAGTGTTTAATTTCCTAATAATAGACCCACTGTTTAAAGGATCATATACATTCGTATCTCCTCATACTAGACCCTCTGTTCTTTGATCTTGGTGCCGTCTAATATCACATACAGGTGCCGAGTAACACATGGGAAATACAATGCATTTAGTATTAGCTGAGGCGAGATGTGCAAAACTAACTCTGTCTAGAGCAGACAGATTTATGTTTTGTTTATACTAGTATATTCTTTAATATCTCCTTGTTATTAAGTTGTGATATTCAAATATGCAAGAGAGGGAAAAGAATTTGTGAGAGGAGGAGTGTGATGATAGGAGGAAGGTGGTAGACAATTGGATATATGCATGAGGTAAATATTGAAAGATTTTGCATGAACAGAATCATTTTGAGTTCACACTAACCACTAGTTTGTGGTGTGAATTGACCAGTATGAGTCTCATTATTTTTTCTGTCTTCAGGGGTCACTGCCTTTTGCAAAATTACTTCCCTGCATGCAGCAACCCATTTATACAGCTAGGTAATGGGATTTTTAACATTACAATTTTACTGACAACAGACACATTGCCATGTCTCCCTGGGTACAGTGTAACAACTCTTAGAAGTAAGTAAAGCTCTTGATTTAAATAACTGATTAGCAAATTGAAATTTCCAAACCCATTACATGTTATAAACCATTCCCATCATAAGCAAATGTTTGCAAGTAAAAATATACAAGTGAAACAACCCTTCAGCCAATTCCTTAATTACTTAATATAATCAATTACCTATTTCATTTACAGGAACTAATGTAGCAGAGGAGAACATATCTAAATTGATCTAGACTTAGAAATTGATCATTCTGATAACAGTAGAACATCCAAGCAAATTAACGTTCAATCTCGTTAAGCAATGCCCCAGGACTGCCACTAGCTTTGGACCTTAACATGCTGAGAAACCAAACAATTTAAATCTAAAATTGATAGAGACGTTGAGAAAGAGGGCATGCAAACAAACCATCAGCTACTGAATCCTTCATCCAATTTTATCTTTGGGATTTGGAATTACAGTTTGGATCCCCCCTCCCCCTTAAAAAAAAGGGGAAAAAAAAAAAAAAAAAAAAGACATTCTGATGGTGTAAGTGAATGCTGAAAGAAGAATTGATGGAGACAGAATCAGTAAGAAGAAATTGTATAAGGGCTTCAATGAAGCAATAAAAGAGTATTTAATGTCAATACAGAACAACTCGGGTGTGATACATCACGTTGTATTTGCTGACAAGTGTCAGATTCACTTACACAGCACAGACCCATGATACATAACACTTCAGTTTAAATTGGTTCTAAAAAATGAAAATGATATATCTCCTATATAAATTTCATGCAAATTTAATAGTGACATAGGAGAGGATGAAAAAGAAAACTTGAATTTTTTTTAAAACTTGCTTCAATGGAGCCCAACAAATACCAGAAATTCAACTGAAACATCCAATATGTGTACGCAGGGCTTTCTTCTTTGGTGACAGTTTACTTGTGTTATGAGAGAAGTGGTTAATAGAAGAGGTGTTCAGACGATGCATCAATCCTGCTGTTTTAGAGCCTGCTACATTTAACTCAGTTCACTTATGTTTCTGTCAATGTCCTTTATGTCAAGATGTTACAAGTATTCATTTAAATGAATGAGTACACCTGCAAAATCAAATCATATATAGTTTAAAAGCATAAGAGTCTAGTGATGGACATTTGCAGATCGATCTTAAAGTAGGATACTTCATATCCTATAGAGATTTTCTGCTTGTTTTTTCCAGTAGGGAGTTGTATTTCTGTTTTACTTTAATAAACTTGATATAAAGATATTTACTGTTTTGTAGCTTGTTACTATATAACAATGCTTACTGAAATGGAATGGAGATTATATGTGTATCTATTATTGAATCTCAATCTACGATATCCAGATACTGAAGTTCAAATCTCAACTGCTTATCAGGATGAATCAAAATTGACATCGGATTCATGAGAAACTGTTTTCTCATCAGAATCCGAGTGGTTTAAACAAAAATCATATATTAATAATTGAATCCAGACTGTTTTGTAACAGACCAGAGTTATTTTTCTATACAAGTCAAGACAGGTAATGTTTAACCCATTACCCCACACTCTCGCTCTACGAGACAGGATTCGTTACTTCAAAGAAGGTTAATTTTAGTCATGACTTCAATTGTAACATTACATTTCTTTTTGCATAAAATTTTCAAGATGTTTTCTTAACCAAGGAAAGAAATAAACAACCAGCAGCTACTTGACTAGGCTATTTCACAATGTTTGATTGTTGGAACTGCCTGGTCCCATTATCTGGGATTTACAGATCAAAATGAAAACACAATTTGCAAATGTTTGGAATCCCTGGGAGACGTGGACTAGCTGTAGTAAATGTTTGCCTGTGTCTGACAGTGTGTCTGCCCTTTGTTTATAGTATATACAGCTATCCGAATGGCTTCCCCCTGTTGACATGCACACCATGTAGCAGGAAATTGATTCTCAAGATTCTGACAAACAGTCACAGCATACAAAACATTTGGCCAACATCTCAAACCCTTGTCTTTCTCTGTGACCGAGACTGTGTAATGTTGCATACAAAACTTTGGCATAAATCTTATTTTCCATTCCGATTGCTTTCCATTTCCATGCTTTAACTCAAAAGACGTTTCTTGATTCTTTGGCACAGACAATTATCCCTGAGCAGATATTCCAAACACATACATGTTTGCTCCCCTCTGACTCTGAATGGTGGAGTCCCACAGTCCATCTGATCTATTTGGAACAAAGTAGTTTGGAACTCATTAGGGACATCCCTGGAATAATGAGTGATCACATGTTCGTCAATTTATGACAGGGAGTGGCTTTGCTATCGAAAAGGAAAAAAACACATTAGTTATCATAAAACTTCTCTCTGATATTTGGAATGGTTTCCATTTTTGCCATAAATTCCATCTGGGTATCTCTTAGGTTTGGGCCTGTCATCACCGTAATCTCAGCTCCCAGTATGTTTCTGTAATCTTTTATCACCTCCAACTCCTGATCAATGGCAGTAAGGCAATGATTTCCCCCCTACATTTAGGTACTTTTTTTCGTATTTAAAAGGCAGCTTTAATGCAAAGGTCATCAAGGTATTCAAGTCCTGAGGATTTAAAAAAAAAAAATCTTTTTCAAATTTCCTCTCCATCAACAGCAAGCAATTGTTGGTACCTACATCTTCCAGCAAAATGTCATCTAAGGCTCATGGATTTTTATGATACCAGCAATTTTGAGAAGAATTTTTGAAAGTAGGCAGTCAACTAACAAGAACATTATCGAGGGAAATGTTGATCAGATGTCAGGAAAGATGTCGGTATCAGTGCTAATAACTAGGATTTTTTCACATTTTAATTAAAATGAACAAAATTGTTTGATATTTTCCTCTCATTTCAAACATCATTTAAAACAAACAGTTGAGAAATGTTCTCCAGATTTCCATCAAAGTGCAGTGGTAAGTGGAAGCGCCATGCTAATTACATCTCTAATACACACAGAACATCTGCTAAAGCAGAGTTTTAGTGCCACACACCAACAATCCAGCCAACTTCTTAACTCCTTAAAACTTCTTTTCCTGCTTTGCCAGATAAAGTCATACATTACAAGATAATGCATAAAAAACATGATAAAAAAATATATATGGGAACGCTTTTCCCATAAGTATCACAGCAAGTTATCTTCCTTTTGCAGAGCTGAACACATTTCTACCAGAAGCTCAATGGGACTCGTATGAAAATTCAATCAAAACTTCATCTCTCCATGTTTATCAGATGTTCAGATTTTTTCCCCTTTTTTTCTCTGTTGATGGCAAATGTTTAAATTGTTTCCATATGTGGGATAGTGTCTGTAGCACTCCTAACATGGGTAAAAATTGAGTTATGGTAAGGTAGATAAACCTTTCCCCATAAATTTTACTTTCGAACCATAGAAAAATTGGTGAATATCACAAGGATTACCACAGAATCGTGCTACCATAGACGAAGATACTGTGGAATTCTGGGATGGTTATATTTCATTCCCCATAGTCCTTGCTGTGAATTTCAGAGATGTATCTTTGTAACAGTATCCTGGTGCAGGTAAATTCTATAATGCCTTTACTTTCTTTGAAACTAATACAAGTACCATGAATAAACACCAGCTTCAAAGGCACAAAATGAAAATGCCAATCCTGGTCTGTTTATTCAATCTGTGCAGTAATTTCTACTTGAAACACATAATACTTTTTCTTTTTTTTCCTCAACAGGCTATAACCATTAGCTTATGATGTGTCAGAGGGTTGAACAAGGCATTAACGACAGCTCAAGAAAATGCATATTGTTTTCAAAGAAGATGAAAGAGCAGACGTTCAAATGACATTGATTGTGATAATCACAGTGATGGATTGTGCAGCTGCTTCAGCCTCAGGACCTCGATAGCAACCAGCAACGAGAAAGAGACCAGGGGGGCAGGAATGGACTCAAAGTCACCAGGGTTCATCAACGGGAGGTAAGAGAGCTTTTTACGTCTACGTTTGAGACATCTAATGGCAGCCATTACTTAGCTATATTACAGAAGAGCACTTCACCGATAACAAATATCAAAACGTAATATAAACCAGCACAAAGGGACATTACCGTAGATCTGAAAAACAGACAATGATATCTACTTGTCCGTCTTTTTGATAAAATGCCATTCTCTTCTAAGAAGCATTCGTTTTCCATACTTCACCTTTCTGACACCAATAGCAAAATAAAAGGAGTATGAGGCAACTGCAGATGGATCGGTTTTCATCTTAGCCTTTTTTCTATCAGTGGTAGACATTTTACAGCTGTTCTGATAGCCAATTTCACCTTCAAATTCTGATGCACAGTCACAGCCCCCTCTGGTGTGAGCTTCCTTTTGGCTGTATGGATTACTCCCCTTGTTGGCAATGCTACAATATTCGGCAGCAGTTTTCCACATTCTTTCAAAGAGGCATCTTCATCAAATGTCTCAATATCAAAGAACGAGATCATTAACTACCAGCAGAATGACATAAATCATTTATAAATCTGTGGAGAGCCCCAATCTATATTTTCTACAGGGTCTGCAGATAGATAGTATTGTTTTTTAATTGTATCTACTACAGCTTAGTTATGCTGTATGTGTCAGTGCTTTTAACATTTAATGGGAAACATTTCACCAAAAAACATCTTCTGAAATGCCATAAAGAAAACGTATTCCATACCCAGATTCTGTATCAAGATTTATCCTTAAACATACTTAATTCGTAAACTGTAAAATGATTCGTGAATATTGATTTTTTCCATAAGGCTCTGTAATACAGTAATGCTCTGACAATAACTACCAATATCTGGTTTAGTTGTCCCCTGAAGGCTTTTTGTCAAAGCATCTTGCATTCTCATAATTTTTTTTCATATAATGAGTATACTGATCAGCTGAAAATGACTGCTAAGACTTCATGAGTTAACTCCCTTTAATATCATTATGGTTTTGAGGTATGAAGATTGTACAGAAGTCACTAAAGTGAATAGCACATTTTAATTCAAGTTCAGATTTAGGGTGAAACAGAGCCAAGCAAGGAATTAAACTACAAAGGCAATTTAATCCTTCTATGACTCAGCAATGACGATAAGGTCCTAATTTAGCCTAGATGATTGGTAGAAAAGTCCAAATCAGGATGTGGAGGTGTACTAGCTCCACAATTAGATGAATTTTGTAATTTTCATATCTGAGGATTTTGGAACAATGTCTAGTGAATTTGTATAGTCTGAACTTTGCAACTACTTGAATGAACGAGGGATGCAAGTTACAGCACCATCTGTGTGAATTGAGGTAGTGATTCTTTAATACATTCAAAATCTGCTTAATTTCTTCAATATTTCTGTGTAAAGGAAGCAGCAATTCATAAGAACCTGAAGTTCCTGATGCTTATGACTACAGACAGTTTGTCCAAAGCTCCATTTAGCAAGGAAGAGTTATACCCCTTGCTGAATATGAACTTGCATTGAAGAGGTTAAGACTATATAGGTTATTGCCCTTCTTTTAAAAAGTGCAGTGTAGCTGACATTTTCAAGTATTCTTATAGAAAGTCAATCCTTCATGTCAATACAACTCACATTTCTTCTCTCAAATATCACAAAGCAAGTCGCTGCAAAATATCTCCATTATTGAAAAAGCTGTCCATTACTATATTCATTGATCCAAGCTATGCCTAGGATTCATGATGTATTGTTTGTGACATCATTTCAATTTCATACAAGTGTAAAAACACTCTTAGTGCATCAGTAAATGGTATGTCTTGATACAGTTAACACAAAATTTGGGCCCTTAGTATCTGAAGAATTTATTTTTATTTAATTAATCTCTTACAATATTCCACCATCTCCAAACCAAAGTCTTTATCTCTGATATATTTATTAAGTTGACAATATTTTGATTTCTATATAATCCAACAGACAGTAATCAACAAATATACAACAGAGACATTGTCGTCAGTTCAGACAAATTTATTCGCTTTCAAACTGAAAAGAAAACATAAATTTGAACCTCTATTTCAAATTGTGATCTATTATGCTGATATTAAAAAATTAAATATCATGGATAGCAGTTACTTCCCCTGAATTGTAAACTCCGACATGATCCATGCCTGTATTATTTCAAAATCATCATGAAATTTGAAACATGAAAATAAATGAACAATACAGTCAGTCAAAATTTTCAAAATCCACTTAAAGCATAAAATGAAGGCTTGAAAACAGAAAAAAAAAAAATAAAAAAATACAAATCGTAACACCTAGACTAAAAAGCATTAGTAGTTACTGTGTAATTATTCATTTTTCTCAGCATTTCAGTATATAAATATATATAAGTACACAACATCAAAATTGAAGGAAAATTTGTTAGGAAAAAAAAAAAAGTCAGTTGGGTTATGTTCTTTTCATAGTGTACTTGGGTGAAAAGCTTTCTAAAATTTGATTTTTATACATGCCCGTCCAGTGATATAAATTTCAAAACCTATATTATGTATGAGCAGCTTTTGAAAATTACTAATAAATTGTAAAATTAACTTTTAAATGATTGCTACTTTTTGTTGAGAATATTCAAATTATCTGGGATATAATATTTGTAGACTACTATTGTAGAAGTATTAATTTGATCTTTTTCCACCTGCAGGAAAGGAAGGCGCATGTGGATGGGAGGCAAGACTGATGAGGAAGAGAAAGATGGTAGAGGATGATTGATAGTTGGGAGGCGTGGCCAACAGCAGAAAGCATTTTATAGCAGCCGTAGCAGCAGCAGCACAGGACACAGGTCAGAGTACAACAGTTACCACGACGACTAAGGATACGAGTGGTACTCACTTGATTAGGTTGGCCCTGCATCATCCCGGGGTTGTGTTGAGGCTGTGAATGGGGGGACGGCTGGGAAGCTGGAGGCTAGCAAGACAACGGGCACGTCATTAACGTGTCACAGCATACAACAAGTGTCGACAAGACAACAGTATAGTTGTTAAAGTGTCATAGCATACACCAGGAATTAGCGTGTCATAGCCTACATTGTTGTTCGTCACCTAACAGGTTCACTGATGTATATCTGCAAGATCTGTTCAAATGACTACTACAAGTCACTCATAATTTGTGTGTCATAACCTACATCATTGTTCGTCACAAAAACAGGTTCACCATCACTTATTAGCAAGATCTGGTTCCATGACTACTGTCAACACAGTTCAAAGGTCAAGTAATGAGTGGTCAGAATGTCAGATATAGCCACAGTTTGAATCAGACATGTTGAACAAAATAGTGTCATCAACAGTGTACAAACCATTTTTATCAAGTAATATTTTACTTTTATGTCAAATGAAAGGGGATGATAATCAAAATATTTTGAAATACCGATATATGTCACCAATACAACAATGTATCACCAAGACAATTTGTCATTAATGAGACAACTGTCTTCAGTTTCACTCAACTGGTGTCATAAAGACAACCCTCACCAGTTACAAAAGTACATTCAAATAAAATGTCTCTTATTATCAAAGTCTTGGGAAATGTGTTCAAACTCCACAACATTTCATTTTGCCTTCATTATATTGAAGTCAATCCCTTTTTACTGACTTCACTGGCAATAAAGAATCTGATTGCAACAATTTTGTCCATGGTCACCTTAATGTTTGTAAGCAAGTGAGTTGGCATCTTGATTACCAAAAGTTTTGTCACAATGCCAAGGTGATTATGTGTGACAGAAACATAACTCCACCATCACCATAATGTTAGAAATTGATTGTAAAATTAGTGTCACTACAACCCTTGTAAGAGACTGCAATATCATTGTCATTAAAATGTTTGTCACAGGTATGTCCCTATCAATGCTATCAAGAAAGTCACATAAAGTCGGTATGTCTGTCACTTTGCTGAATAACTGAAGTGAAACAACTAGGTATACAACTGTATATAACTTGTTCTACTGTCCTGTCTTAGTGTGGGCAAGTAATATTCATGCAAGCTGCTATCAAGCTATCCGTTATTGTGTGTAATGTACTGTTACCGTAACTGACATCACTAACAAGATGGCACACAGATAACGCATGGACTTGTAGCAGCACTTTATACAGGGCATGCCAACATTATAAGACAGGACAGACAAGAGCTCTATCATGCGTCTCCGACGTACGACAGGGTAGACAGATGTCATCATGCATCGCCTACATACGACAGGAGAGACAGAAGTCATCATGCGTCGCCTAAGAGTGTCTGCAGGCTGTGTGTTTTGAATTTCTGATAATGTCAACTTCTACAGTGTTGCTATATAATGTGCATACATAGTTCAAATAACTTTTGTATACGACAAATTTTGACTGAAATTTCAAAGTTATCTAACAAACAGTATATTATTTGCCATTTCATTCCCCACATCATCATCCCTTCATTTTAAGCTGATGTACATGTTTGAACAAGTAAAGCAAGTACAACTGAATTTTTTCTATGAACTGTTTCATGAAATTAATATCATATACTTTGCATGAAATTTATTTCAGTCAAAAAATGACAATAAAATTCTGTAACAAAATGTACTTAAAATTATTCCTTTATTTATACTAATCGATCTACTGTACAAAATGCATAGAAAGTGAAAGTAGATTAGAATAATATTAATGTATTAAAAAAAAACTGCTAAGAAGGAAGGATCACAATATACAATTTGCAAACAGAAATATCAAAATATTGGACAGAACAAGCATAAAAAGGTAAATAAAGAGTGCTTTAAAGTTAAAGCAGAAGACATATTTTTGTTGAGATATATCTGTCACTAAAATGCATACTGGAAAATGTTTGTCTACAGTTAGCTAGCCAGCTACGTGTGTATGATGATTGTGCAAATTGAAAGCAGGAGCTAGGGAGGGTGTAAGGTAATAATGAAGCTTAGGAGTCTACGATCTAAGGTACAGGTTGATATATAATTATACAGTGCAGAAAGCAGAAATGTTAGTAGTTGCAGGTGTTTGTGGCGGGGACAATGATGAGCTATACAAGTCTGAAGGTAATGACAGGTGGGAACAGGGCTTACGAAAGACAGATGATGAAGACTTAATTAAGATGAAAGTGGATTAAAAAATGAAAGTTTTTCTGGACATGTAATCAAAGAGACAAGTCATGATGATCAAAAATTCCCTCCTCACCGTTTCACATGTATCAAGGGAAGTAACTCTTCCACACCTGACAACAAACTGAATGAAATTTCAACAAGAGTTATCTCTCTTTACATATATGGATATCTCCCTTTTGAAGTTGGAACTGGAACTGTTTATCTATATTGTAAATTACTTAGTAACTCAGTAATCAGAGTATTTGTTGGGGATTTATGATCAAGTTTATAGTGTGAAGAGCAATATGGGCCACAGCAAAAAGCCAAACTTGTTAATAGGAAGCATGGGTCACTTGCTTTCTCAATATTTTATCACAGTCTTAAAAGTTAGTTCGTAAGTACAACACTGGAGATAAAAAAAAAAGGGCATGTGCAAAAAATAAGCTTCAAAAGTGACATCTAAAGTAAAAAAGAAAGTTTGGTTTGGCGATCCCACATCAATGCTTTTTAAAAACTTAATAAGTGCTGTATGTTAGAGAAAAATCAATGGACAAATTCAGCTACAGGATAGCAAAAAGAATGCTTTTATTTGAATGAAAAAAATATCTACATACTATAAATGTTAAATCTACATGTATTAGTCTGGATAGATCACCTCTAAATGTAATATTCATATGTAAATATATAATGGAAGCAGAAAACACAAGTTCGCAACAGGAGTAGTCTCCCCTGTAACATGCACAGTTCCTTCGTAGAAGATCTGGATTACTGTACCACCATTTACATGATAACAAATAAAAAAGAATTGTTTATCACCGATGAAATCAATCTAGCAAGGCCCTGTACAATTGTTTTCTTATGTTGAAAAAATCATTAAATTGAACATGTCAAAAGCTTTCAATCCGAGGTGACTGGGATGTTCAAGAAAATGTAACCAGATTGTCCCGACAAAATGTGACCACAAGATATGATGAAATAGGACCGGAATGCTTAACAAGATGTAATCTGATCAACCAATGTCACAGTTCAACAAAACATCATTATATTTCACAACAAGATATACTTATTACCTGCCCATAAAAATTATCAACCAATCTTAATATAAACTATATTTATTTTATGACAATTATGAAACAAGCTATCAGCTTATATTAATTACTTTTGTTGGCCCAGATGGAAGCCCATGAGGGGTCTCCGTGTGGAAACCAGAATTCTTGGGGAAAACCCCAGGTGACCCTTTACCTTTTCATGTCTGCCTAAGAGAGTAAATCGTGGAAATCGAGGAAAGGCGAGTTTGCTACTACTGCACCTCCCAACCATCCATTATTACATTTCAGCTGACATGCAAGTATTATGAAAAACAACAATCCACGACAACCCAGTCTACAAAGAATCAATTCACCTCTTACGAAACTGAAAAGCTACAAACATTTTTAATACCAATCATCATTTTCCAAACATGTGCGACAGTTTAGGCAAAGACTGATAATCAGCTAGAACAAATAAGCACAGAATCCCAAATGCATTGTACACTAGTATATAACAGTATCATTTTACTGAGACCTTGACCTTGGGGCATTCTTAACACCATTTTGCACAATGCACTTTATATCTTTGACAGACTAGGACAGCACTGACTGAGCTATACTCGCTTTAACATATTATCAAACCTAGATGTGCTACCTAAATCCAACAATTTCACAATCAACCTTTGCTTTTGATCATCTTCGGGAACTTACTTCTAAGAATTCTTTTCAGACAATTTTTTTGCCAAAAAACCTGTTATCAGTTATCTCCAAAAATCATTTTTTCCTTTTTTCTTGTAGTGAAGTAAGACTTCCTATAAAATGGTGGTACAGTGATCCCTCCTAGGTTTGGGGAGACTTTAAGAGACTCTCCCTTATATTGTACGGACTGTTGTTTCTTCACAGCTTCTGTAGATTCAATAACGCATCTTGAATGTACAAGGTAGATCCGATCCCGTTGGTGTAAACCTCATCTTTTGTAGACACTCTGTGATGCTAAAACTTTCAAATAACAACAAAAAAGGCCAAAGAAGGAAAAGAAAAATTAATTTCAACTTACCGGAAAAAACCCTGGGGGCATTGGTCCTCCTGGCATCCCGTCCTGAGGGGGCATCTGTCCCAGCGGACTAGGTGCTGGGCCTGCATTCTGTAACATGGAGGAGAGAGTTTAATATTTACATAATGCACAGGAGGGTAAAGGTCAAAATATCATTCATTATTCTAAGTATAGAATAGATCATCATTCTTGATTTATTTAATCACTCTCGTCATCTTCTTTTCTTGAGCACTTCATCTATTTGAAATGCAAAGCATTGTATTTCTGAGCAATCTCTTCAATATTTTAGTTTTTAAATTTTTTCTTAAAATCACTTACATGCCTATTACTAAAGGTAACCTGTTACCAAAAACATGTGGCACTGATCTTGAAAGACCATGTCCAAAGGCCATTTCAATTATCAATAATCTATATGAAACTATATCAGGAAATACTTCTAAAAGAACTAAAGCACTACAATGTCTTGAACCAAGGAAGCCAGTCAATCTAGAAGAAAATCCCATTCAAATGACAATGTAAACTGTCCAGCACTGCCTACCCCATCTCTTAGATATCCCTTATCATCATCCTACATTAAAAAGAAACCGACATGAGGTATCTTTCCACCCCTTTAATAAATCTCCTCATCACAATGAAATCAATTGGTATGTTATTCCCTTAAAACCCCCTACCACCTGCTTGTCATAAAACACCCTAGTTCTGACACACCTGGCTAAACCATCTAGTGGGAGTTATCTCCCCTGATTCATCAAATACAATTTCAAACGTGTATTATTGAAAGGCTAAACATGTTGATAATACTTATTATTTATATTTGTAATTTAATGCAAAACAATCAAACACTTTTATAGAAGCTGCCTATCAACAGCCAAAATGAAATGTATTTTCCACAACATCAGTGAAATTTGTGCAAAATGTTTTCTTGAAAAATTAAAGATTCCAAGTGAGAGATACACACTTTACATTGCTGAAGGATTTTTCCTTCCTTCTTTTCTTTTTTTTTTTTGTGTGGGAAGATAAAATTTTTTGTTATGCTCCCATTTCTTCAATTTTACAAACATGAACTCAAAACTCAATAAAAAGGTTTGTTGTGATCATATCTATGATGTCTCTAACTATTCATAATTTTAAAATGTGTTTTCTGACGAGTCTTTATGACTCTTGCTGATTATCACTTCTTGCCGCCTTCTAGATAGACCGCTAAGAGTAGATGTCAATGATCCCATATCTGTGTGTTCCACCTTACTGTACCGCCTCAGGAGAATCCTCTGCAAACCCCAACAATGCTCGTTCACGATTGATACAAATCTCAATCAGAACATTTCATGAACACCTAGTCTGTCAATTTTGGTAAGTTTTTAGTATAACACTCAATTGTCTCATAGCAACAGAATGCATACATGACACTGTTTTGAAAGATGATGGCATTGTTTATAGCATTTGGCTGTCGATAGGGGTAGTTGGTAAATCATTGGAATATCTCCACCAATCAGAAAGCTAGGATTTGCAGTAACAGCTAGTTCTACAGGCAATAGGATAAAATCGTAAATATGTTACCTTTGTTATGTTTAGCCTAAAAAGTTCTGTTTAGCCTCAAAAATACCTGTACAATCTAACTGATGTTGATAATGACTTGAAAACCTTGAAGATATATTGAAATACTATTAAACAAAAGTTTGCTATATCCAAACTTCAGGACAAATACAACTTAAATTTATGAGCATTAGACAGCACCAATGGATTATCATTTACAAAAGAATGAGATATCTGAACTATTTCACCCCTGAATATCAGATGTAGACTTGACCAGATCCAAGATCACATGAGTCTAGATTAACACCAATATAGTGATATGCAACTGAACTCCAACTAATTTAATGATGTATATGGAAATGATTGTTAAGAACAGCTTGCCTTTAAGGTGTGGTGGTCTCAATAAACAAAAAAAACTTTATAATTCCTTTTTAAGTCCAAATTTTTGGAGAATTATCTATCTGATTCAAGTTTGTATCATTTGAATAGTAAGGCATATATTCCAGTTATCTAATACATTTTCTTATTTACAATTTCGACACAAACACGCATCACGATCATATGAGGTCAAAATGATCTGGTTAAGCAGCACTGATTTGTATGTTTAAGACAAAACTGAAGATTATCCATACATATCAATATCACGTATATCACTACACCAGGAAGCAAGACATGTGGCATGGCTATATATACATAGAATAGATTCTAACTCGTCCTGATGGTCTTATCGTGAAAGACCAGTCTTGGGTGTACAGAGAAAGAGCAAAAAGAAGAAACAAATATTTAACTTTTAAGTCTTACTTTTAACATTTATAGTAGAGTTTAAGAACTTTTTGTGAAAATTGATTTTTCTAGTTTGACTGTCAATGTGATAGATAATGGTCAATATATTTGGGCAGCTAATATATACTGGGACATCATGAACAGGATTAAAATAGTTTTAAATTGTGTAACTATTATTTAAAGAATCAAGAAATCCTGAAATGAACACAGACAGGAACTGTTTCTGTGCCACACACATGTATGCTTGTTTGTTTGCTAGGATTGTTGCCCTTTGAACAAGCCAGGGTCATTTAAAGACTGGGTTTTCTATCAGTGGCTACCTCACTGAACACGATATGTAAGGCCCACCACACGCTAGGTATAGAAATTTAGTCAAAGTATCTTGCCCATGGCCACAACAGCCAACAAACACACTCCTACACAGAGCAGCTACCTGCCTGACCCTTTGTAGATATATCATAAACTATATAAAGCTCATCATGGATGTTTCTTTTGAAGGCAAATGGTACCATGATGACTACTGACCAAATGTCAGAAAAATGTAGAAATGGGTACCAACATTGGAAAGTAACCCACCATAAATTTGATACCTGTTTAGGAAACCTGGTTGTAGAAATTGGTACCAACAGTGGAAAGTAACCCACCATAAATTTGCTACCTGTTTAGGAAACCTGGCTGTAGAAATGTGTACCAACAGTGGAAAAGTAACCAAACACAAGATTGATACCTGTCTAGGACAGCTTACAGTAGAAACAGGTATCAGTCTATGGGAAGGTTATCAAGCACAAAACCATGCTTTTCACGGATACCTATTTGTAGAAATAGGTACCTGCCAGGTGGGAATAACAATAAAGATATCTTTCCAGTTAGGACATCTAGCAATAGAAATAGGTTGGAAATCAATTCTTCATTGTTATGTGAAGAATGGAAACTTCATTCAATAAAAAAATATTTGTGAATTTTTTAATGATAAAATTCCCAACACATCTTTTTTTTTTAACAAAGTCTTGTAAAAACACTGCACCACTAAGTAGGTTTCCAATGGACTGTACTTTTGATCTCACTGTAGAAGAACCATTTTATTTCAAAAGTACCACACAACCCCTGATATTCCAAACAAGATATCTATTTCATGAAAACTATACCACACATATAATTATATTTTTAGCATTATATTTGGGGCCTGATAGTTCAGCCAAAGGGTTAGATCCTGAGACTGGAGCCACAACCTGGTGTAGACTCGGCAGATTACAGACAAAGTTTTCTTCAGAAGTTTTTTGCTGTTCACAATCTGTGTATTGGGACTGGAATATCCTACAAACCAGGCATCCATGATCTCTTAAAAAGTTTCAGCTAACTCATTCAAACCAATCACTGATATATCAGTAAAATTATATAAAACAAGAACCCATTATCTGTAAAAGTTTGAACTGGATTGTATTCCAGAGGGCCAACACACAACTTCTTACTGAAAGTCAGGGAGCATAGCACAATGGAAATGTGTTTGTTGATTATTTGACAGCAACTTACAAGAGTGGGCTAATTGTTGGACTGACAGTGAATGTGGACTATATGTAATAAGATGTTAATTCAGGCCCTGTATTTAACACCATGATACACAGTTTCTGTATTCATCAGTGAAAATATTGAAGAACTCAGATTGTGATCAAAAAGTCTAAAGTCAGGTGTCACGCCTCGGGATATCTACACCTTGTCGATGTCTTGTTACAACCTGGCATCTACAATATGGTGGGAGTTATCAACATCTAATAAAGTTAAGTCTATTACGGAATATTCAGCCGTCATGGTGAATCTCACCGATGATTTCTTTGTCATGCCGGAAAACTGACAACAATATGGAACAGCTTTACAGAGTAGATAAAGCGAAGTCTTCCTTCAAACCGTTAAATAATTCATATAAAGCTTCAAAACTGATTGTTAGTTTTATTCCTGGCTGGTATGATTTTTTCCACCAGAAATTTCAAACTGTAAATAAAACCTGCCTGTGTTCAAGCCTTTTTCACTTTTAAAAGATTGATTATTTTTGTCTATAAATATATGTCTGTCGACACATGTATTTTTGAATTATTATATAATGAATTTTTCATAAGACTGTTTTTTATGATAAAAAACTAGCATGTATCTAAAGACTGATCATGTTGAAAGATGGAAACCTGTACCAAGATCTCAGCCCTTCATACATGTCGTTCTGTCCCTTTAAACCCCCGGCGACCCCTAGCACTACCAGTACCACCACCATTATTGATCCTGTGATAGCTGACCAACCCACAATGGCTGGGTGCCGATCGGCTTTGTGTGTGTGAGTTTACGAGTGTGTGTGTGTATATATAGTAAACACGTACCCTGCCGCCACACAATACTGGGGTGGCCTACTATCTGATCAGCCAGGCATGACACATGTGTCAACATGTTTATACACAGCGCCTTATCTTGCCTGGCCCTAACATGGATCATCGACCTCACCCGAATATACTAAGATCGAACTCAACATCTCTTGTTTATTATGTGTATTATTAATACTAAGGGATTGACATGTGATTACATTAGAGTACTAAATCACAACAGTTTCCTGGTACTACAATTGTCTCTAGTTCTGTAGAGCTCTAGGTCTGTAGTGATGTAGTGAGTAGCTCTAGGTCTGTAGTGAGTAGTTCTAGTTCTGTAGTGAGTAGCTGTAGTTCTGTAGTGAGTAGCTTTAGTTCTGTAGTGAGTAGTTCTAGTTCTGTAGTGAGTAGCTGTAGTTCTGTAGTGAG